GGCGACCGTCGGCCGCCGCGGCGTCGCTCGAGATCAACCAATCGCTGTCCCGGTCGCCTCGCTCATCGTCGGCCTCGTCGATGCTGAGGTCGCATTCGCCGCCGACCGATTCCTTGGTCTTTGCCAAGGCCGAGGCGGAGGAGGAATGCTGCGCAGCGCTGGATTACGACGACGACGCTTCCTCCGAAGATGAAGAGGAACCGAAGTTCCAGGTGCAGAAGAAGGAAAAGAAGGAGGCAGAAAAGGAGGAGAAGAAGGAGGAGAAGGCGGGACCGCCGCCGGCGCAGATGCGGGACATCATCATGAAGCAGAAGGCCAGCGGCAGCTGGGACTGGAGCGACGCCGCCGGCCTCGTGGGTCTCACCGCCGACAAGCTCCGCAGCGGCATCCCCTCGGCCAAGCTCCTCACCGGTACGCCTCTGTGTTCCGTGTTACGCGCGTGTAGCGGGCGTGCGTCTTGTGTGTGCGGTCAGCGTGTGCGTGTGCAGTTGTGCGACGTTGGGCCAGGGCTGATGACGAATGTCACGATGGTGGTGATGGTTGGTGGTTGGTGGTTGGTGAACAACAACAGTGGACAAGGAGGTGGAGGCGCTGTGGGCGACGGCCGTGGTGGCGGCCTTCCTGCAGAAGAGGTTCCCCGGTCAGAAGACCAACTGGGACCTGGTGGTGAAGAAGGCCCTCAAGTTCATCGCGCGTCAGAAGAAGAACGTCAAGCTCGCCTCTGAAAGCGAGGAGATCGACTGGGTGCAGCTCGCCACTGCCTTCCTCCCCTGATCGCCCCCCACCACTGCTTGTGTGCACTGGATGTACACATCATTAAAAAATAAATAAAAATAAAAAAATAAGAAAAGAACAGTTTAAAAAAAGAAAAAAAAAGGAGAGAGGCAGGAGGGCATGTTGCGGACGAAGAGGCCGAGCACGGGGGAGCCACTGGAGGCGGTGGTGGTGGCTATGGGCGAGGGCAACGTGCGCGGCGGCCTGGCCGGCTTCGAGGAGCCCACCTTCGCCCAACCCACCGGCCAGCTGCTCGCCGCCCTAGGCTCCACCACCACCTCACCAGGCCACCACGCTGCACCTGCACCTGCTGGCCTTGACCAGCCCTGGAGCCGGTCGTGGCAGGACTGGGACGACGCCGTCGTGGCCGCGGCCGTCGGCGCCATCAAAACCCAGCGAAGCGGCGGCGGTGGAGGTTGGGAGGTGACGAGGGAGGCGGTGGCGGACGGGCTGTCGCTGACGGATCGTGCGGTGCTGGTGGCACGGTCGGGTCGCATCACCCGCCACACGGCCGAGCGCACCTGCCAACTGCTCTTCGAGAGGTGCGTGTGTGTGCGGTTGATGTGTGTGTGCGTGTGTGTTCTTTGCGGTGCTGACGTCACTGATGAATGCATGATAGGTGCGGTGTGGATGCGCTGTACGAGGCGCGGTGCTCGACCTTGAGCGTTTACGCGAGCAGGCGCACGACCGGCCTCGTCGTGGACTGCGGCCACGCCTCGTCTTCCGTCCACTTCGTGTGGGACGGCATCCCAATACGTACGTGTGCGGTGTGTGCGTGTGACACTGATTTATTGCGGCGGCATGGAATAAAAACAGCGACTATGTACTCGGAGGCGGGTCGGCAGGTAGAGACAGTGACGCCGGTGGGCGGCGCGGCGCTCACGCGGCACCTGGTGCGGCTTCTCAACCACAAGCATCCCGAGCTCAACCTCACTGAAGCCGACGTCAACCTCATCAAAGAACACACAGGCACACACACCACACACACACATATTGCCGTGTCATGTTGTGTGTCATGTGTGGTGTGTGACGGCGTGTGTAATTGACGTGATGGGTCGACAGGGCGGTTGAGTATGCACTACGCGCGGGAGGTGGGCCAGTACGAGCAGCGGTTCAGCCAGACGCGTCTGCTGACGTCGCTGCACGAGCGCGAGGGCGAGAGCTATCTGTCCCTGCTGCCCGCCGAGATCGTCGCCTGCGTCAACCAGCACGCCCTGCCCCCGGTACCCATCGACCGACCAAATGTTGTCCTGATTGATTGCTGCCGTCGTCCTTCGCTCACTCACCCCACTCGCTCGCGACAGACTGCGCCGGCGCAAGTCAAGTACGCGCTGCCGGATGGGCGCACGCTGGTGGTGGACGAGGAGCAGATCCAGTGCGCGGAGCCCCTGTTCAGGCCCTCGCTGCTGCTGCTCGACCCCATCGAGGCCCACGACCACGACCACGACGCGCGGGCGCCGCCGCGGACCACGACAGAACGAAAAGCGAAGCAAAAAGAAGGCCAGGAGCAAGAACAGGAGGAGAAGGGCGGGCTGGGCGCCCTGGCCAAGGCGGCGCGCGACAGTGGGCCGATGAAGATGCGCAACGAGATGAGCGCAAACGTGATCCTCACCGGCGGCACCTCCATGTTCCCAGGTTCGTTGTGTGTCGTGTCGTGTCGTGTCGTGTCGTTGGTCTTGTCGTTGGTCGTGTCGTGTCGTTGGTTGTGTCGAGTCGCGTCGCGTCGCGTCGTCGTTGGTCGGTCCTGACTTGAAGGTCGGGGGCGACGGGATAGGAATGGCGGAGAGGCTGGAGCGAGCGTTGACCACCAACGATGGAGGCGGGCCACCGCACGCGGTCCAAGGGGTGCAGCAGCCGCGCAGAGGCGACCTGGCCTGGGTGGGCGGCTCCATCCTGGCCTCGCTCTCCACCTTCCAGTCCATGTGGGTCTCCCGCGACCATTACCTCGAGCAAGGTGGGTCACCCTCCTTCCCTCGCACACGCTCCTTCCACCTCACCGTCGTGTCGTGTCGTTGGTCGTGTCGTGTCGTGTCGTGTCGTGTCGTGTGCAAATAGGGTCGAGTGTGGTTCACTTGAAGTGCTGCTGAAGAACAAAGAAAGTGCGAATGAATAACACAAAGGTGTGTACATTAAAAACTTGAAGTTATGTGTCAGACGTCGAACAGAAAGGATCGGCTCTACCAGGGTCCCCGGTCCTGGCCTTCTCCTCACCTCTTCGGGGGCTGGCCTGGCAGCAGCTCATGCCCCCTCGCCGCCACTGTTCTCCTTGATGCCGACGTCGCTGTTGTCGTCGTTGTCTTCGTCGTCGTCGTCGTCGATGACCACCAGCACAGTTCTGGCCTCAGCCCGGACGGCGCGGGCGTTGTGGCTCTTCCACGCCCTGTCCTCTGCCAACGCATCGGAGTCGTCATCCTGTTCGTAGAAGTCGGAATCACCCTTGTCGCTCGCGCTCGAGTCGTCTGAGCCGGAGGCATCGTACCGCTTCCTCTTCTTCTTGTTCTTGTTTCTCTTCTCCTCCTTTTTGTTTCGTTCTTCTCGTTTTCGTTCTTCACCGTCGTCGGCTTCCGCTTGTGCTGCTCGCGGCAGGGTCGGCACTCGCACGGGCCGTCGCGGGTGATGGTCCTGCCCTCGAGTTGTATGCGGCGTAGGAACTCCCTGTAGGGCACCGGCGCCGTCGCCACGAAGTCCTTCTTTCTCTCCCACGTGTTTTGGTCGTGGTCGTATCCTTCCCACTTGACGTACACCTCACCCCTCTTCTGCAAAGTGTACAAGTCTATCAGACGCACACGCACACGCACCACCGCACACGCACCACCGCACACGCACACGCACGATCGTGCCACAGTGAGTGACGTACGGTGCATTCGTCCTCGACGGCCTCCACGGGGTATTCGGGCTCCTTCTTGATGAGCGCCTTGCTAGCGGCCACCTTGGCGGCGCGCGGCCTTGGTGGCCTCCTGGTTGTTGCAGTGGACGACGACGAGGCCGTCGTGCCCCTTCCACTCCCCACCGCCGGCTCGCTCGTCCTGCGGCGCTTGAGCCGGGGCTCGTCTCCGTCACTGTGGTCGGCCTCCAGACCCAGATCCGATGCGCTGTGGGCGCCCTTCTTCTTCGCCGTCGTCGTCTTCGTCTTTGGGTTCTTCTTCTCCTTGTTCCTTTCCTTCTCCTCTTTTCTTTTCTTCTTTCGCTTCTCTCTTTCTTGCCGTTCCTCCTCTGGCTTCGGCTCGGCCTCGTCGAAGTCGTCGAGATCGGTCACCTTTTCCTTACCTTTGTCGCTTTTGCTCGACTTGCTGCTGCTGGCGGTGGTGGTGGTAGTGCTCTTCTTCGTCTTCTTCTGGCTCGTACCGGTAGCCCTGGCCATGTCTTCAGTTGCCTTTTGAAGCCCATGTGTGCGTGTGTGTGCGTGTGTGTGCGTGTGTGCGCGTGTGCGTGCGTGTGTGTGCGTGTGTGCGCGTGTGCGTGCGTGTGTGTGTGCGTGTGTGCGTGTGTGCGTGTGCGTCAGCTCTCCTGCAATGCCATGACGAGCAACGAGCGCGCAAGGGGAAGAGAAAGGCGGGAAATGGGGAGGGTGGAAGATGCCTTGACTGTGGTCCGGAAGCGTGTAGTCCCCAATCTGGCCACATGCTCTCCCGCCTGTTCATCCGACGACAGAGTGAGCGTCACGCCATGTGTCATGTGTGGTGTCGTGTCGTGTGTGGTGTCGTGTCGTGTTTGGTATCGTGTCGTGTTTGGTATCGTGTCGTGTCGTGTCGTGTCTGGTGTTGTGTCGTGTTTGGTATCGTGTCGTGTCGTGTCGTGTCTGGTGTCGTGTCGTGTCGTGTCTGGTGTCGTGTCGTGTCGTGTCTGGTGTCGTGTCGTGTCGTGTCGTGTCGTGTCGTGTCGTGTCGTGTCGTGTCGTGTCGTGTCGTGTCGTGTCGTGTCGTGTCGTGTCGTGTCTCGTGTCGTGTCGTGTCGTGTCGTGTCGTGTCGTGTCGTGTCGTGTCGTGTCGTGTCGTGTCGTGTCGTGTCGTGTCGTGTCTGGTGTTGAGTAGGTCTGAACCGAGATAAACGCGCGGCCGTGCCAAGTGTCCTCGCGCAGGATCCCTTTAGAGGGGGGGGGGGTGATGCGAAAGCCCATCAGCGACACACGAGCGCAGAAGGGGAGGAGAAGGGAAGGGGCACGCACCCTTCTGCAGCATCTGACCGACAATGTCGCGCACGAACTCTGACTTCGGTTCGTTCCCCATGCGATGGGCTGACGTGTGGCAAAGAAACCAGACGATGAGTGAGCTTGAGTCTCGCATGGCCAGCAGCAAACATAACATTGCGTGTCGTTGGTCGTGTCGTGTCGTTGGTCGTGTCGTTGGTCGTGTCGTTGGTCGTGTCGTGTCGTGTCGTGTCGTGTCGTGTCGTGTCGTGTCGTGTCGTGTCGTGTCGTGTCGTGTCGTGTCGTGTCGTGTCGTGTCGTGTCGATGTGAAGCATACCGTATCCGTGGTCAGTGGTTGCGTTGAAGCCGGCTTTCTTGAGAGATCCCTTGCGGCTGCCGCAGAAGATGTCTACCAGCATGGTGACGTTGCTGATGGGACCTTTGTCGCCCTCTTTGTCCGCCCGGCTCTCGACGAATTCGGCTGTTTGTTTCCCATCACCGTAGGCAAGAGTGAGTACTTGCCTCGTTGATGACGTGGACACAGCACTGCAGCCACATTAAAGGTGGGTCGGTCGGTCAGTTGGTTGGTTATTGTACCGATGCGCAGGATCACGCGGGCAATCTCCCGGGCGACGTCTTGGGCAGGTCCGGGCTCCTCTTCGTCGCTCTCATGATAGCCCCGGCAGTTGTCACACATGCCCTCCGTGTCCGTGGGACCCGTGCACTGATAGAGCGCTGAGATTTGTTTTTGTCAGACCACCAAAGCGATTACCATGGTTTGCTTCGTGTGTGGGTGCGGGCTGGTGGGAGCGGGCTGGCAAGGACCGGGGGGGACAAGGTACTTTGTTCACCGCTGAAAGTGTAGGTGTTGAGGTACTCCATCATGGCGCCCATGCGGCAGACGCTCGTGTTCTGGCAGTAGCTGATCAAGGTGTTGAGCGCTGTCTCGCATGTCGCCCTGCACAACAACGACAAGAGCGTAGTGAGAAAACAGAAACAATAAAAACGATGATAGCAAAAGTGAAACGAACTGAACGCGAAAACTGAGAGAACAAAGAATGGGAGTGGGCGTACTTGTCTGGCTGGTTTTCGCTGTTCGATTTCTGGACGTTGAGGATCTCCCTCTTGTCCTTGTAGGACCAGAAGATCACACCGTCGGCTCTCTGCCCATCCCTACCAGCTCGGCCCACGCCCTGGTGGAACTGCACCATTGACTGCGGCAGGTTGTAGAAGACGACGTAGCGCACGTCGGGCTTATCAATTCCTGGCCCACAGCCACAACCACACATTATTGTCATCAGATCAGCAACAATGAAGCAACAAACATCTTTTGTACCCATGCCAAAGGCAGAGGTGGCAACAATGACCTTGAGTTCATCCGCCATCCACTGGTCCTGATAGAGAGAAGAGAGGCATTACTTGATGCAGATTCATTCATGGTGGCAAAAGATGTTGGTACATGTATGTAGTCCTTGTTGTCCTCTTTCTGGTAGTATTTTCCTGCAGCAATGCCTGCATTCTGAAGCAAGCAAAAGTAGGAGGTGCAAAAGTGAGTTGGTGTGGTTCAGTTTGTGCAGTTGAAGGGGAGACAACCTGGAGGGCCTTGCAGAGCAAATTGACTGTTCCAACTGTGAGGGCATAGACAATGCCACAGTCATCAGGCCAGTTTG